CTGCTCAGTTTTTTGTTTTCTATGTTGTGTTTTGTGTACTGTTAATTGTTTGTCTTTTAATCATTTTGTTTTTTGCCATGGCATTGTCATTTTGTTTTTTGCCATGGCATTGTCATTTTGTTTTTTGCCATGGCATTGTCATTTTGTTTTTTGCCATGGCATTGTCATTTTGTTTTTTGCCATGGCATTGTCATTTTGTTTTCGACTTATAAGTTTGAATACCCCTTTGGTTTATTTCGCCTATCCTTTTTTCATATTTATCAGTATTTAAAATATCAGGAATATATAATAAAAGCATATTGTGAAGAGTAGAATTGTAACAAAAACAGTAATGACGAAAAAAACAGAATTGTTAATTCTTTGCTGACTTTATATAGCTGAAATCGATAGCAAGCTTCTCGTGATGCAACCTTAAACAAGTATAAAGTAAACAAGCTTTTTAAGCTATTAATCATCGTATGTCAAGTTTTTGTTCCAAAATCCATGTTCAATCTTGAAGGAATATAATTAAATTCCAAATAATAGACAAGAAATCTGTTAAAACAACGTCTGGGGTTGAACGCTCGTTTGATCGAAGTGATAAGCGTTAATCCCGCCACAAAATGTCGTCTGACGAGTATGATCTGTGTCATGATAATGTTTACATTCTTTCATCTTTGCATGCTTTCATTTTTCCTGAAATTACATGTTCCTGACATCTGTTGCAATACAATTTCTGTTTTCTTTCAATTGCAAAGTCATTTAAATGCAAAACTTATTTTCAGTGCTTGGTTTAAAGTTTAATGATTTATCAAAATCTCATTCATAATTAAATTTAAAGTCAAATAATAAGTACTCTTTTTCAATAATTTCCGGCACTACAGTAATTAACAGTTTATTTAATGGACTGAAAATTCAGCGATTGCGTACATGTAACCGAATCTGTGCTCTGGTGGTAGTTTGATGAGTGCAGGAGGTCAGGAGGTCAGGGTTTGATCCGCGGTAGGCTCAAACCAAGAACGTGAAAATTGAAATTGGTCTCTTCTGTGCTTATCATGCGGTATTAAGGGGTAAGAACCAGACTGATAGGCTCGGAGTCAGAATAACGTGTATATGTAGATTGCCATATTTTCCTGTAGATTGTTACCTCATGAACTAGCTATAGAAGGTTTAAAATCTGTCTCGGCTCGTTTGTCTATTACAAAGCAGTGATCATAAAATTGAGAATGGAAATGGTGAATGTGTCAAAGAGACAACAACCCGACCAAAGAGCAGAAAACAGCCGAAGGCCACCAATGGGTCTTCAACACAGCGAGAAAATCCCGCACCCGGAGGCGGGCTTCAGCTGTTCCCTAAACAAAAATGTGTACTAGTTCAATGAAAATGGACGTCACACTCAACTCCAAAACATATAAATGAACTAAAATTAAAAAAAAATACAAGACTAATAAAAGCCAGACTTGGTACAGGCGCAAACATGCTGCGGGGTTAAACATGTTTTGTGAGATCTCAACCCTCCCGCGTGAATAAGATGTGGATACTAAAAAATTCCAAAGATCTTTTAGAGTACATACAATCTAAGACTCTCATCTTGCAATAGTATTAAAACATTTGACTTTTCTACACTTTACACAAGTATTCCCCATTCCAAACTAAAAGACAAATTGAAAGAGTTGGTATTGATTTGTTTCATAAAAAAGAATGGCGAACGAAGATACAAGTATCGTGTCTTGGGGAGGGATAAATCCTACTTTGTAAAGAATCACTCTGATTTAAACAAAAAATTCTCTGAAACTGACATTATCAAGATGCTTGATTTCTTGATTGACAACATATTTGTTACGTTTGGAGAACGTGTTTTTCAACAGACTGTCGGCATTCCAATGGGAACCAATTGTGCCCATCTTCCTGCCGACTTGTTTCTTTATTATTATGAGGCTGACTTTATACAGGAACTTCTTAGGAAGAGAGATAAGAAGTTAGCAATATCCTTTAACTTTACTTTCCGCTATATAGATGATGTTCTCTCACTAAATAATTCAAAATTTGGTGACTATGTTGAACGCATCTATCCCATCGAACTAGACATAAAGGATACAACAGATACAGTAACGTCTGCCTCATATCTTGACATACATCTAGACATTGACCATGAGGGTCGGTTGAAAACAAAACTTTACGATAAAAGAGATGATTTCAGCTTCCCAATTGTAAATTTTCCATTTCTATGTAGCAACATTCTAGCAGCGCCTGCATACGGAGTATATATCTCCCAATTGATGCGATATTCCCGGGCTTGTATTTCCTATCATGATTTCATTGATAGGGGGTTGCTGCACACAAGGAAGCTATTAAACCAAGAGTTCCAAATGGTGAAGTTGAAATCATTCCTTTGTAAATTTTACGGACGCCATTACGAGTCGGTTGACCGTTATGGAATAACCGTTTCACAGATGATATCGGATATGTTCCTTGTGTCGTAATTACAATCCACTTCCTTTTTCACCACGAATATGACCTACCGAATTAGACTATTTTACCGGATTTGTTATAACATGAGCAACACGACGGGTGCCACATGTGGAGCAGTATCTGCTTACCCTTCTGGAGCACCTGAGATAACCCCCAGTTTTTGGTGGGGTTCGTGTTGCTTAGTCTATAGTTTTCTATGTTGTGTCTTGTGTACTATTATTTGTCTGTTTGTCTTTTAATTTTTATCCATGGCGTTGTCAGTTTTTTTTCAATCTACGAGTTTGACTGTCCCTCTGGTATCTTTCGCCCCTCTTCTATACCTTTAGCCAATGTAGAATAAACAAACACACAGCAATACGCACAGTAAAACTCAGTTTAAAAGTATAGGTAACAGCAGAAATTAAGCAAAATGACAATGATACATAAATTAACAAAGGACAACTAGCAGTTACTGACATGCCAGCTCCAGATCTCAATTAAACTGATTGAAAGATTATGTCTTCATCATATGAAAATCATTCACAATTCCTCCCGTTAGGGGTTTATTATCATACCATCATAAAATATATGAGAAGAACATAACCATGCCAACAACTAGTTTTAGAATAAATGTGTTATTTCCGATGCGAAGACCCTATGAGTGAATCAATATTAATACCAAAATATACCATCTTTAATGACCTGACAACAGTATAGTAACTATATCCCTTCTAAATAAGTCTGTTTAAAGGTTCATATTCATATCACATTGACTTGTTTCGGCTCGTCATGATAGGCATGAAATATTTTCCACTGGACGCACATTAATCAAATACATTGATCGTTTACGATTCGCTTGCGTAGAGAATAAACAGTATTTTACAACTAATGCATAAAGTGTTCTGTGAATTAATAATATTTGTGCATGCATTGATTATATTGTGTTTATATTAAACATGTGAGATTAAACATTGCGGTTTCAGGAATTAAATTGTGAATGCAAATAATGCTATCTAAATATAAAATGCAACGTTTTATTTTTTCGAAACCTATCCCGTAATATTCGCAAACTTCAAAAACATCGCAAAAATGTCTGAATTTACAGTATAATATTACGGTGCGCGGTTTCGCTTAAAGTTGTCTTCCATTTAAAAAAAAAAATTGTTGGGGGGGGGGGGGGGGGTAATTGCCTCGTGTAAAAAGAGTGTCACGCTATCTGCACGTTAAGAATCCTTTCAGCAACTTTTTTAGGGGTTCTTGGGTGACCTGTTACAAGATTGGATTTGTGTTCCTCTCCAATTTACCCTTATTTGCCAGTGGCAGTCTAACACCCTCCCCTTTCATCCCGGTCGACCTCTATTACACGACCTCCCTATTGTATATATTGTGAATTAGTTCTCACCATGAACATTCATGATATATTTGCTACTGAACGTTGAGCTACCAAACATCAATCAATCATCCCAGTTTGAATCACAAATTGTCATATATTTTTCTTCTCTGTCTTTGTATCTTTATCACTATGTTAATTAGGGGCCACTCAATGAGTTAAATAAAACTAAGTACCTTATATGTGCGGAAAACGTTGCTGTGTATTTACACAACCTGCACAACCAAAGCAATGCCAACCGGGATACAGATCTTTTTCTACTGTACGTTCAAGTACAGAAGTCCCATTCACAATATGTCTTAACCCCAGGCATCCCGTGAAGTTGACATTAAATTTTATCTTACATTATTACAGACACACAATATTAAAAGGTAATAGATATAAATGTTGCGGCTTTATGTGTATATTAATTTGTAGTATAAGATATGATTACTACCTAATTAAATATTCTAAGGGAAAACCACTGCGAATTAATTTTACATCTCAAGGTGTTTAGTGTAAAAAGTCTACTTTTTATTCGTGTTATCTCAACGAAGCACAGATTTAAATTGTAAGTCCTGTTGACATCAAATCATCATATGAGCTGCGTCGGATAGAAATCGACCTTATGCAAATGAATTCGAATACATCTGTAAACCTATTTCGGGTTGAAAAAATCTCCACGGAAAGCCTGTAACTGTTTGGAAATTGAGTTGGCATAAGAACCCTACAAAGCAGTTCAAAATTCATCTTTTATTTCGTATTTGAATGTTATATAATCAATCATCGTCTTACACATGTACATGTCAACGTGCACTTGCATAAGGTCGATTTCTATCCGACGCAGCTCATATGTTAAAAGACAATTTAACAAGTTATTTGATCATGCATTTTCGAAGTTATTAGGCGATCAACTGTAATTGACAGAAAGAGAGAGTCAGATGCTTCAACTTTTTTACTGTTATATATCTTAGATTTAAATATTGTAAAAGTTTTTTTCATAAATATTCAATTTTAGCAGGTAATTGTATATCTACCGTATATTATATTTTTTGTCAACATAACCTTGAAAATTGTCTAACAATAAAGGCACACTTATTAAAAATAGATGTTTAAATAAATCGCATTTTTAAAAATAAATGTTTAAATCGCAGTTAGAAGAATGGGTTTAAATAAATGAGGTTAAAACGCGGTTTAAAATTTGTACCTGTTTATGGAAAAATCATAAACACACACAGCCAATTGCAAATGTTGGGTCAAGGAAATAGAATATAACAAGCACATACCCGTTTATTTACTGGGCAGGATTCATATTTAAAAGTCTCTCTGTTTATTGATAAGAACATCACAAAGAAATACGATACATTGAGAGTAAGACGTTTATTAGCTATCTTCATACTGTATGTATTGTTCTGTAAGCTGATTTGATGGGGAAGTCAGAGTCTTTCGATTTTCACAACATTGAGAATAGTTCTAGTATGAACGATGTGAGAGGACACAAAAAGACCGGTTGCTACGTAAGCACTGCGACTGGTTTCGTGTTGACACTGTTAGCCGCCTGTCTGGCTGTCGGAGTTGGAATTATAGTGCATTTTACTACTTCCGGTAATACTATCGACTGCAAGTGCTCTTACCCGCCAAATTCTGGAGGAAACAATGACGCTCAGGTCGGGGGAACTACACCCTCAACCACTTCCCAAAAACCTATTCTGGATCAATGTAAGGATCTTATTAACCACGGGAATCAGGAACTATGTAAGTAATTGTGTATATATATTGTTTATTAATTACAATGTCAGTGGTACCAGTAAATAACATGGCTAATTGACTCTTCTTAATTAGCGTCTCGCTGTGTTTAATCATTTTCTCATTAAGTTTCCCTTTACCGTTGATTGCTCCAATAATGATATAATTGCAGATGCTTCTTATATAGTTTTCATTGGACTTGTATTATTACTTATATCTTTGCCAATTCGAAAATTGTTATGTTTACGTTTTTTTTTCTTTAATACGAACACAAATAAATACATTTTTGTATTTGTAATTTATATATAATATTATATTTAACACAGATTTTACCTTTCTTTACAAGAATATCCTGTATGATAAAGTGTGTCAACTGTTAAACAAAAAATTATTTTTATGCAAAAAAATTAATGTCGAAGCATAAATCATTGTGTCTTTGTCTTCTGTTTTATGTATTACTAATGAAATAAATCGCGTATTCAAATTAAAACTTTAAAGTAGTTTCTGTTTTAGTGTCAGTTTATTTTCGACTTATGAGTTTGAATGTCCCTTTGGTATCTTTCGCCTCTCTTTTATTTATATGTACAGAACATGACATGAAATCAATCTTACTTATATTTTTAGTTCAATTTTTAGAAATAATTTTCATATACTATCTCACTCCGATGTAAGTCCCCGAGAATGATTTTATAACATTTTCAGTTTATAAATCAGGGGCGGATCCAGGATTTAAGGTTAGGGGGGGGGGGGGGCAAACTTAAATTTTGGCCGATCAGAGCAAGGCGAAATTTGTTTTGAGGTAAAATTATCAAAATATTCTTTATTAAGCTGCTTTGCAAATTTTTTTTTTTTGGGGGGGGGGGGGGGGGGGCACGCCCGCCACGCCCCCGCATGAATCCGCCCCTGTAAATTAATTCTTTAATAACAACATTGATCGTAAGCATTTGTCAACTGTACCCAAGAACATCGTTTGAAGAGATTGTTTACCAGAATAAACCTGTAGACTTCTTGTTTGACAGTTTTAAAAATTGAGAATTTTCAAATGTCCCCCTGAAATTATAAAAAAAAACTCCACGTGGAATAGGAAAGGCCAATCAAAAGTTAGCTGCAACAGTATCATGTAATCTTTGTTAACTTTATTTAAAAAAAACTCGCAGTTGCAGTAAAATCTTGTCTATGACTTAAAAGTCTGTCCGATGACGAAAACAATATCCGGACGCATTTATGTTCGTTTTCCTCCCAAAATAACCCAAACTGAATAATCATAAGCGAGGATGACAAATGCGACTATGCATGGTACTTACAGGACACAGAGGCATGATGATTAATTTATTGTGGAAGGAAGAGAAGCGACACACAAAATGAGGTTTTCTCATTTAATAGTATAGATAGTTTTGGTGTAAGGCGATATCCACTAAGTAATCACCCAACCGTTTATGGTATACTTTTCGCTGAGCAGACCATAATACTTGCAGACAAAGCGGAAATGATGACGGCACGTAAATTTTTGCTAATTTACCCAAAAATAATTCGCAACATGCTCCGTTCCGCAGAACAATATTTTTTGCACCCCCTAACATTCAGTCCTGGATCCGCACCCGATTTCTGGTGTTTCCGTGCTCAGAACCACCCCGTATATGAGTGGGCTGAAAATTTTATGCATTAATATATGAATGGAGGTGGGTCACATTCCAGCCGCACTTCAGTACCCATTTTTAACCGAAAACTTTAGTAATCCCCCACCCTTTTCATGTTGAATTAATGCGGTTCCCCGGAAGGAAAAGCTCTTGGCGTGTAAAAATCTGTTGTTAAATTGCTGAGAGCGTCAAGGGAATGTGTATCACAAAGTGTTTCAGTGTAAGGTCAATATTTACCGTATCTGCTACGAAATAAAATTTAATTTTGCCGGGCAGATGTGCAATGACGGAAATGATGACGGCGCGTAAATTTCAGAGCCGAACGTCGCGAAGGACGGTCGATCCGAACTGCCTTTTTCCCGATTTTAACCCCCAAATACCCCCCCAAAAGATCTTGAAATGAACACATAATAAACTACGCTGGTCATTACCCCTTTGTTGTATAAAACAATATTCGTGGATTTTATGTGAAAGTAAAAAACGCGACACTCAATTTCAACTCTATTCATTTAGTAATATAGAATATAGACACAGTGGAACAATATGACATGACAATACAGAACATACATACATATACAACAATACAATAGAATAACAATCACTAATCGAATGATGAAAGTTTATTACAAATCATTTCCTGCATGGTTGTTAATTAAGAAGTGGAATATGTTTTAAATTATACTAAATATTGAAATATTTTCTTAAGTTTTCATCAGAAAAAAAACGGAGTCGCCTGTCCAAGCCTATACACAAGTGTATTCGATTAGGGTGGGGTTTTTCCTAGAAAAACGTGATTTGAGGAAAAGTGTCTTTTGATAAATACACATAATAATGAGGGTATGGATGGGGGTCCTTCATTTCTGTATTCTTTAATTGTTTCGCTCATTATTCTTTATCTTGAAAAATAATGGCTATTCTGTAATTACTTGATAAGTGTATTCTGGACATTGCTCTTTCCTGTTTTCAGTATATTTTTACCCAATGTTTTAACTGTTGCAGTTATTATTTATATTTTAGCACCTCGTTATTATCTATTTTTATATTTTTTTTGCCCACTTTTCTTTATCCTTAATTTTTTTGCCCATTTTTCTTCATTCTGTAAACCCCATTCACACCCTCAATAATGTTCAAAACAACATAACCACATCAGGCAAACTTTACATGTTTATGTTGATATTCAACTAATACATGTTTACAACAAACAAACCAAACATTCCCAAAAACATATGTCATAAATCAAAATTTCACTATACACAAGCGGTAATGAACTTATAAATTCCCCAAAACATATATAATAAATCAAAATTTCCCTATACACAAGCGGTAATGAACATATGATGTAACAGTTAATTTCTGATTTAAAACATAACATGAATTAATTTATGGTTGAGGAAAACAATATAATTTTGAGAATGACATAATTATAGTTGAGATTTCGGTGCAATCACCGAAAATCAATACCATAATGCAGTAATCCAATTAAGTTCGATTCATTTCATTTCCGTTACCAGAAAAACACTCGGATTATTGTACACTGATTTCTGTCGTCATTTAAATGATTGACGGACAAACTTGATCCCTTCCTCCTAGCACTGACAAGGTCAGTATGTCCGTTTGACATTTTTGCTAAATGTGCTGATGTAGATTCTCTGTCGAACCAACTCACGTATGATGTCTAATACCAAATACTTTGACGAAAAGATAACGATTTGAATCAAACGTTCTTCGAACAACAACCATATTTAAATTGATTTGCTTCTTCTTTAAATCTTATTGCTTTTAAAATAGGCAGGTTTATCATCTGATTTTTGATTGGTTTTTTTTTTATGTGATGGCAAATTTGTCCCACAAAGTGTCACTTGCAAGTAAATAACTTGTCCAATATTACATTGAGAGTCCACTTAGTCTAGTTGTGTTGATCAGATATTAAATTTTCTTAAATACGGTGTTTAAGATGTATATGTTTAACTACCTTTCAGTATCAATTATTTTGTCTATTTAAACCACAAGCTTAACACAAACAAAAGGTATTGTATTGTTTGGTAAAAGTCATTTTCAATTGGAGATAATGATTGTCCGTCTGGACAATAAGATCGGACAACCTCTCTTCAATTTACAATTAGTTTGTCTAAAATATTGCTTTGATGTTCGTTCAATTTCTTTGTTTAGCATACTTAATATATAGCCAAACATACGTATACTGGAATATCCATTTCATTTTGTTTTGTGTTTTTATAAGTAGTCGGGAAATGACAGCCTTCATTATTGAAGGCCGTACGGTGACCTATAATTGCTTTCATCCGCTTCACTTGAACTCTGGTGGATAGTTGTCTCATTGGAAAATCATACAACATCCCCTTATGTTTATATCAATGTCTTAAAGTATCAGCCTTAATCTAAACTCTGCATATTGAAAAAAGTTTTTATAGATGAAAAATCCAAATTATCCAGTTCCTCTCCGTGATCGATCTCTCATACTTTAAGTAGCTATCGTAGAGTAGCTGAATATAACGACTGCATTATTCAGGTAAAGAGATGACATACGGTAACACAAACCATCGTTTGTATTTACTTACACAAAATGTTACTATTGAAACTAAAATAGTTACATTTATCTGAAGAATTGATGTTATCTTACGTCATCTTAAAGTACTTCTGTTATGCAAGTTCAACTGTTTCCTGTCATGAATCTTGCGTCAAAATCCGTTAGCTCATCAATGGAAGGAGGTCAATATCTAATATAAAAATAAGAAGAAGCACTTTTTTGAAGCAGATTAGATTCAGTTCAATTTTATCAAACGTCGTAGTAGCGATGTAGCTACACGCACCACTAACATTTATAATAAAACAGAAGTTAAATTAAAATGTTAAAGTCAACAAAATGTATTCGATAAAAAAAAAAAAAAATGATAAAGATATTACTCCCGAATAAAGCTCCTTCCAAAGAGAAATTCAAGAACGGGCGAAACAATGTGTTTCATTTAATTATGATTCACTATGGAATGATAATCCGAGAATGATATTGAGCATTAACTGTTAAAACCGTTGATCATGAAACTCACTTTTATCTCCCTAGCTACGATGAAAGTCGCTGTACGGAGACCTTACGCGTGCTGTTACCGGCATCGGCGGCATCACTTGCTTAAAGTTAATACCCCCACTGCAGGCCTGTGTATTACGAAATTTTTAGTGCTACAATATCAAAACAGTAAAAATACAGAATAAAAGTGACGTGCCATTTTGTTCATATACCAAAGAGAAACGGTGTTTAAAGCAATTCTGTAAAATGCTTCATTGCATTAAATGGAAATAGGGATTTGGTGGCAAATATAGCCAACATTTTTGCTAAAAACCCGAAAACTGTATTACAGA